ACCAGGAATGCTGACTGTGTTTCTTATGCACATAGTGCTGACTTTTCAGCCATTCAACTTGATTTAAAAATAAGAAATGAAAAAATTTTAAATTGGAATGTCATGTCCCCTTTGTCTTCTAGACCCTCTCTACGTGCCAGGAGGATTATTTAGAGGTGGGACATGTTGTTCTTCATCACAGCTCTGTAAATAGAGATCCAGGAAGCGTGTGGATGTGTTGGGAGCACTCCCAGGTGGAGGCTTTGCTCGGCAGGGTGTACCTTTGCAGTGTTCTGGAATGCCACACCTTGTCCATACTAAGAGCATTCTCTTAATGAAGCTCCAGTCACATCCTAGGGAAGTGTCCTAAGCCAGATATCCCAAGGGAGATTTGAAGTGATCCTCTTTTTCCCCACTAAGCCACAAAGGCATTGCAGATTTGCTCTAAGTTCCAGTGCAGGAGTGTCATGCCACAGTGATTCTGTTCTGTGCCAGATTTTACTGCAGAATTAACTCCCAAACATCTGCAGAACAAGTCTTTTTGCATGCTGCCTAAAAAATGTGTTGCTATTTGCGTGGGTGGCATTTGTCAGTCTGCTTGGGAGTGTCAGGAACCATATTGTATTATTTTTAAAGTCTCTGAAGGCTGATAACAATCTGTCTGTAACTGTAAAACAGTGATCTGATGTAATGACGGGAGAAATAAACTTCCCAGCTGACCTGACAGAAAAATGTGTTCCTGGTGAGTAGATACTTCCAGAGTTAACAAGTAATAAAAGCATTTGGCTGGCAAGAAATGCTGTGGGTTTCAGTGACATTTAATAATCTTTAAGAATCAAGTTAGTTAGGAAACAGCTGACCTCTTCTGGTCCCATCTCACAGGTCAGGAGCAGGAAGACGTGACCAGCCCGAGTTCTTCCCCTGCCCCTGTTTGTCTTGGCCTGCAGTGCATGTGCTTTAAACAGGGCAGGATTCAGCAGCAAAAATCCTCATGATTTGATCTGTATAAACATAAGGAGGGGAAGCAGCAACTCACAGGAACCCTAACTTTAAGTACTATTAGCTACGATTACTCAAAACCAGTTATAAAATAGTTATTTCCCCTCCTTTCTAGTTCGAGTTAAGTCTTCTGAGGTGTTCATAACTTGAGCAGGTTCTTCTTGCCTTTTCAACTGGCCTCTGTGTGAGTGGTTTTATTTGTTTGTTTTAAGCTTTCATTTACATCTACAGCTATCTGTGGATATTGTATGTTAAAATAGAATACTAAGAAGACATTTTTCATTAGAAACTCTTCCAGGTGCTACAGAGCTGCCATCAAAGTATCCTTAAGAGCTATTTCTCATGTAGCAATCTTAAAAGATGACCAGAGGAGTTCTCCTTCTAGAGGATAGTTGATTGTGCCTTCACTTTATTACACAGAGTTTCTGAAAAACTTTCTGTTGGACTCCAAGCATGAATGTCTTGTTACCTCAGTATGCAAGATGCAACTGCTGCCTGTCCATTTATATCTGTTCTCTAATCATGTTGTAGACTGGTATTAGCAGTAATAAGAACAATGTAAGTTGTGCTTACCATTTGTATTCAAGATCAGCCATAATTGAATTTGGGTGTGTTTTTTTTCCTACATGACATTTATTAGGAGGGATCCAATTTGCATTTCTGTTGTATATAGTTTAAATTGTGGTGCATAACTTGTCTTTCACAGCTTTGCCCCAGTTTCCATGTTTTCTGAAGTGGGAGTTTAAAGTAGATACTTCATTATATTACAGACAAAAGACATGGAATAGAAATGAAATTGTTCTGTAAAGTCTGATATATCTAACAGACCAATGAAGCCTGATTAGGTATCTTATTCCACGTTTTGTTTTGTCATATGTGTATATGCATTTATAACTTTTTGTTAGCTTCGGGGTCTCTGTGGTCCTCTGAAGAACTTCCTGCAATCAGTGAGGTGTAGAAATGTGGACAGGCTGAAAGAAAAAGTATGATGGATGGAGAAAACATCAAAGTATGTCAAGGAGATATACAGTAAATCCTGCACAGGAAACCTCAATCCCAAAGTTAAGGATTCAGCAGATTTTCATTTAATCTCATTTTATCCACTAAAGTGTATGAATTCTGTGTTTTGATCATTTTCTACAAAATAGCTCTTTTCCATCCAAATTTGGAAGCAAGATGTTTGGGTTGGATTTATGTCATAAGACATGAGGGCGGGGAGGCCCTGGCCCAGGTTGCCCAGAGAAGCTGTGGCTGCCCCATCCCTGGAAGTGTCCAAGGCCAGGTTGGACGGGGCTTGGAGCAACCTGGGCTGGTGGAAGGTGTCCCTGCCCATGGCAGGGGGATTGGAACTAAGTGACCTTTAGGGTCCCTTCCAACCCAAAGCACTCTGATCCTGTGACAGCAGAGCATTTCCACCAGCACAGGAATGTCTGTTGTGCTGCAGCCCCTCAGCTGCCAGGGTTACCAAGCAGTGCAGAACATCACTTGGGAAGATACTTCTGTCCTTTCTTCCCCCATGTCTGTGTGTGATCATAGGAAAGATACAATAGACTTTGCAGGGAGTGTTAGTCATATGCATGCTTCCCTTCTCTAAAAGCCTGGAAATTTAAGATCTGTGAATGACTTTGTGGTCTCTGGGTTCCTGATCTTTGTGGACTACTGCATACCTGCTTTCTAATTTAAGGAGGGGGAAGATGTTCAGATGAGAGATTGAAGTATTTGTTGCACCTCTTTGGACTAAAGAATTTTGGTTCTTGAATCCGTTCAGACTGCTGTTTTTGGAGATACTACCTTCTGGGGAGGCAGAACATAATGTCCCCAAAGTATGCAAATGTTTCACCTAGACTCACCATCTCTGCATTTTCACACTTCCCTGGGACTTTGTTAGAAACATGTTTGTTTTCCCATAATGGTGGCATAAAAGAAAGTTTAGCTGGTAGCAAAAAAAAAATGGAGAATGAGGGAACTCCAGACCTCAAAGGACAGCCTGTCCCTGCTGATCCCATGGATCTGGCCATCTTTTCCTTTGCTAAGCCCTTCAGACTTTTGCTGACACTTTGCCTGAAAGAAAGAGAACTGGCCACTTCCTTTGCAGAGACCATCTAAGTTAGTCCCTGCTTGTACCACCAGTTGAAGCCTTCAGATCAAACTGTGATCTCTGGGATGTACAGCTTCTCTGACTCCCTGCAAAGCATCTTCAGTCCTGAGGGCTCTAGAGCAGCCACCTGAGGTCACATATCCCAAAATGAGTTCCTTTGCAAGTCAAATGGACTAGAGCTTTCAGCAAAGCTCTGCCGAACTGTTCTGTCTTTTACAGAACTCTCACGATCTGGGAACCACCTGTAGGACAATCTGTACACCCAAGTGCATCAAGGAAAAGATAAAAGTGTGTCTTTTGGTAATTATGGTTCTTTTTGAGTGTGGTATCCATGCATTTCACAGTTTGTTTTCCTTTGCCACACTTAAAGAATGCTGGACTCTGCAGGAGAAACCAAGGAGCTGTTCTGCTCATGACTCTTTTGCTTTTGGGAGGAACCTGAGAGCTTGACAGAGAACACTGCTTGTCTAAGTAACCTTCAGTCATGAGCAGAAAGAATTTCTCTAAGGAGAATAGAGGATAGGAGGGGCAAACAACAAGAGTTCATTTTATTCAGGCCTAAAACAGTATTAGAAAAAAATGCTTTGTATTTTGCCTGTCATGGTTTGCCAAAAGCTAATAGCTCAGTGCATTTACAGCAAAAGGGTTTATGTGGAACCGTTGGGAACATTTTCAAATGTTTTCTGCCCTCCACATTAGCCATAAAAGGAAATATTTTGCAAAGGTGAGATGAGATTCTTTTTGGGGTTTCAACAATATTCTAAACTGATGTTGGGGTTCTGTCAGAGAACTAGAATGTAAGTAAGTGGTCTGCTTTTCTTCCCCAACCATCAACCCTCACTTAATTATGATGTGACAGTGCGTATCTGCAAAGCTGCCTTCACATGTCACCAGATGTATTTCTCCAGATGTGTTTTGTTGGTGCAAAAGGTATTATGTTTTGTTTCCATTTGGTGTTTCCTTAAGGATTTGGTGTTGCTGTATTTGTCACTGATTGGGTGTCATCTATAGTAGCCTGAATTCAGGTGAGAATTCTCAGTGTTTCTAGATAAGGAGGCCTTTCTTGAACAGGTACTCCTGCATCTGTGGGGTTTTTTTCCTTCTATTCACATATTTTGCTTAGTTCCTGGTCTTGGGGGTTTCTGTTTTTGTCACAGTAAGTGGAAAAGGGGAATACTCAGTTCTAGAAGTGTATTCCTTAATCCATTTCCTTTTCAACCTTAGTATTATTGGAAGAGTGGAAGTGAAAGGCTGCTTTGGTGTGGGGGAGGTAGTTTTAACGGGGTGAGATAGAAAACACCTGGGTGAGATAGAAAACACCTGGGCATGTACTGAAGTAGCTGGAACCAGGTTATTTGAGAAGTTCCTGTAGCCTGAAATAGACTTTACTGACTTCTCCCGAGCAGGTAAAATGAAATATCCAACTAGGAGGCGCGTGAAAAGCAGTAATTTAGGAATAACAGACCCCTTTTGCAATGGGTAAAACTGGGCACGGTCCTTTCCAGAACGACGATGGATGCAGAGAGGAAGCAGCGCTTCCCATCTCCCGCTCCACCATCCTGGGCCGGGGGAGCGCTCGCGGTGCAGCGGCGGCTGCGGGGCCGCTCCGGGGCTGTCCGGGAGCTCATCGCGGCCGAGCCTGGCCGAGCTCTCCCCTCGCCCATCCCGGCCGAGCTCTCCCTCGCCCCGGGCTCGGCGCGGGGGCGGCCCGGGGGTCGGCGGGGGCGGAGCGGGGCGGAGCGCGGCTCCGGGCGCTGCGGGCAGGAGGGAGGGCCGGCCCTGCGGCCGGTGACTTCATGGGAAGGAGGCGGCGGGAGGTGGGTGTCGCTTTCCGTGTGCCGGTGCCTCTGCAGGGCGGGCGCGGGGCCGGGCCACAGCGCGGACGGGGGGCGGCAGCGCCGGGCCGGCTCCCCCTTCCCCTCCGGCCGGAGGAAGATGGAGCTGGGGTAGCGCGGGGTGCGGGCGGAGCAGCGGGAGCAGGTAAGGGCTGTTCTCCCTCCTCCTGCCCGCGGGGCCGGGCCGTGTCCCCTCGCAGGTGGCACGGGCGGGCCCGGCCGTGCCCTTGCCCGGGGCTGCCCGGCCGCGGGAGCGCCCAGGGGAGCTCGGACACCCGGAGGGCAAAGCCCTCGGCCGGGCCGGGGAGCCGGAGCCGGGCGCTCGGAACCGCCTCCCGCCCCGTGCTGGGGCTGCGGGCCGGGGATGCGGGAGCTCTGCCGGCTCTGCCCCCGCCCCGTCTCCCCCGGCTCATTGATGAGCTCCAGGAAGGGTTTCTGCATTGCAGACTCTCGCCCGAGCTCCGCTCCTGCGTTTGCGGCGTTATCCTGCTCAAGGAGCCCGTTCCTGGCCGGGTGCTTGGGGCTGCTCGGGCAAGAGGCCGATTTGGGCAGGTGGGATGTCCTTCTGTGTTTCTTGGACCGTGTCCGGACATTCGGGGGATTGACCTCATTTCAGTAACTATTAGATGTGCATATAATATTAGTTCTCTTTCTGAAAGAGCTACAAAAGAGTATTGGTCTGGATTTGTGTGATTAACGATCATTTGAAGTTCATGGGGTGCAGTGAGATATAACGTGCATATAAAACATAATGCAGTGAGGCACACGACCTTACATAATCTAAATTTAAAAAGCTCCCTACCCCTACGCTTACCCTGGAGGTTGTAGGAATATGTCTGTTCTAAGCTTGTTTAGTACCTATCTGACATAAAGATGCAGAGCCCCCTGTGAGCCAATGCTGAAAATAAAAGGATAAATTGTTGACTACTTTTGGTGTAGTTGTGTCACAGTAAGTTCCCCATCACTGGGCAGTGTCACGCAAACACAGTGATGGTTACTGGGCACACACAGCTCCAGCAGCAGGAGGGAATGGCCTCTTCTGCTGTCCCTTGGTTGTGCCTTTAAACTGACCAGCTATAGCATAACACTGGCACATTGTAATAAACTCCAGGCTGCTCTCCCTAGGCCTGAACAGTGCTGCAATTTCTAGCATGTAGATATATATTTAATGTGGGCAGAAAGAAACCTTTCACACTTTTCATTTGACCTTCAGAGTCTCAGACAAATAAATACTTGAAACTGATGATCAGGGCAAGTGTTTTGGAATGGACTGGTGTAAAATACGTTGCTGGACGCAAATGTATACAACTCATATCACATCCAGGGTGACACACAGTGTTCTGAGCTCTGTATCCAAAGGAAACTAATGTCTGATAAATTTGGCCCACATTTTAATTTAACTCAGTCCTTACAGGTGACATTGACTTTAATAAAGGTTGCTATGGCACAGATTTAAAGTAAAGTATATTAAGCTTCTGGAATTGAAACTGCTGTTGGTAGGAAAAGTGTTGTTATTTACAATCTGTTATTAAAATAGGAGTGTGTTCTTAGCTGCTAGGGCTGGATGTGGCTCCGTTTTCTGCTGTTGGTGTGGATTGACTAAATGGTCTCCTTTCTGTGGATGGAGGCCAGATTTTTCCCAGTGTGACTGTGCTGCTCACACAGGGGCAAGCTGGACTTTTCCCGTTTGAATCTGGAATTATAGATGAATGTCAGTGCCTGCCATCCTCTGGGAAACTTTCTATTCCAAGCCTGTGTGCGTGTGCCTGGGCTGTACCTCTGAGGGTGGTGTGGAGCACAGAACCAGCGTGGGCTGTGTGTGCCCACACAGCCGTAATCACCGTGTGACAGGGGAGAAATGACGCTTTGGGATCCTGTTCTCTTGTGATACTACATTTTTGTGGCTGCACTTTTACAAGAAACTCAGTCATCTTTGGGCCAGCTTAATTCGTGTACAATACAACAACAGTTAAGAGTATGAGGCTGGGTAGGAATCAGGTCTAATAGACTCCTTTTGGTGTATGTATAGGGCAAAAATAACTGATTGTTTGCTTAATCATAGTGCATCTATTTTTGAAAAAGCTGTTTTTCTGCAAATGGATTCTAGAAGATTTTAGTCTTGGTTCATCAATACAAATTCATCTAGTTGGTGATGGTGGCTGGATGTTACAGACTCCAAGTAAGCGTGGGATGAGCAGGTAGGAAGGTACTTGGTCCTTCCCTGGTGAGCTCCCTCTGCACCTTTCCTTGTCCCCGGGACATCTCCCTTATTGTCACGTTGGCAGACTCAGCAAAAAGGCCACTGAGTGAAGGGAACTCCAGGTAAGGAATTTTGTAGAGCTGAGAACATGCATGCTGTGAACACTGACTCTGATGCCACCGATGTAACCATTGTGCTAATTGTTGCCATAGCTGCCCTTTATGTTACTTATTAAAAAATTAGAGACTATGGTTTAATCAGCCAAAGCACTATATATAGAACATCTCATTTAAATTAAAACTATATGTTTTGAATATAATCCCTGTGGTGTTTTTGCTCACTTAGAGTTTTGTATGAGTTTACTGGTGTCATATCTATGTTATTTCAGGGAAGAAATGTTTTTTTTTATTAAATTTGTTATATACTGCATAGACACATGTGAACTTTAAAAATGTGTATATCATCTAGCTGTCACATGTTGTTATTTAGCTTATTCTTGCCTTTAGACATAGTAACCTTCTGTAGTCTTTACAGGAGGAGAACAGTGGCAAGGTGTTCCCACATAGTTATGTATGGGAGAGAGGGTTGGAGTGGAGAGAAGGAAAGGACTGGCAGAATGTTTGTTTCCAGACAATCTAGGCCTCATATCTTGCAGTGCTTAATGAAGTCTCCTTCTGTTTAATATATTCTGCATTCCAAAATCATAATGAAATCTGAATCTCCTTTTGACTTGAATTTCATATGATATCTTGGGATTCATATTAAGCAAAAATTAAACATAAACTTTTAATTAAGCAGATGGCAAGCTTAAAATATCAAGTGCAACTGTTATTAAATTGAGGACTGAAAGCAGAAAAGGCTTTGTTGTTGTTGTTTTTGAAGATTTTGTATTCTACTGGTTCATTTATCATTGATATGCACTGCACAGGCATGCAAATGAATTTGGAGATGTTTAGACAAAAGCATAGAGCTAAACAGTATGTGGATCTTCTGAACAAATGAATCAGGTTGCCCTCATGAAAAAGCTGGCAGATATTAACCTGACTGCTTAGATGGTCTGAAAATTCAGCAGTGTAGTCTTATGCAAGAGTTTACCAGTTGAGGTGTGATACAAATGTTGTGCAGGTGTTCTATTGCATCTCCCTGTATTTCTGTGTCATTGATTTCCTAAGGCAAAGGATGGCACAAAACTGAGAAGTCAGGTGTCCCCAGATAAGATGGCAGAACTGTCCTCAAATCCTTGGTAGTAACTGATTTTCTTTTGGATGCAGGTTAGTGTGTACATCTGAATGTAACAGAACAACTGTTTCACTGTCAGGTGTTTTCTAGACTCTGTTTAATTTTCTAGACTCCATTTAGTTGTCCTTCCCCAGCTACTGACCCAAGGGAGGAAAAATTGTAAATCTAACAAATATGGAAGTACTGAAGATATGAAAGACTTGAGTTACAGTTCTGTTTTCATGTTGTTTCCCATCATAACTGCTTCTGTGATCGTTTCTGAGTATTTCTGATTTTAAGTCCTTTAAAAAGAGACAGCTGCTTGTGATCTATTTCAAGTCTCATTCTCAGTTTACTTAAGTTTCTTGTTGTTCTTCTTCTTGAGGTCAGTGCTGTCTACTTTAGGGTACTGTTATACCAGTGATTTTTAGTCAGTAGTGTTTTACTGCAGATATTATTGACATTATCTGTATTTATTTAATATCTCTTGGATGGACCTTTGGAAAAGCTTTAGGCTTGAAATACAGAGTTCAACTTGCTTATTAACTTTTATTAAAAGAGTTTATAAATTCATGTATTATTTTAGAGTATCTCAGCCATTTGAAATACACTGGCTATGAATTTGGTCTAAGTCTGAAAATGTATTTCATAGAAGACATGAAGGATTGCTATTGCTGGAAGTATTTTTCAATACTCACAGGGGTTTTTTTTCAGAACGAGCATATCTGCAAACACTTCATGGTACATTTAATAAAATTGGAATGCTTCCCCTTGTATGTTGAAAATGTCATTGTTCAGAACACTGAGTTGTGCCACTCTCTGATCATGGTTTCAGTCTTGTGTGTGATGCTTCAGTGTGGCCTGTACAGAGAACAAAGTATGGGGGTTTTTTTGTCCAAAGGGTAAAGTAGCTATTTTTACCTGTCAAATGTTTTGCAGATACTCAGTTCTCCACAGTGACTTTTTTCACTTGCACATTCTTTCAGGATCTGCTGAGTAATCATTTGCACTGAGTAGTGAATCAAAAAAGGGGCAAAACCCATTTAGAAACTGAGCAAGCTGTGAAAGAATTTTGATTCTAATTTTGGTCACAATGGTTATATTTCCACTATTGTTTTCAGAATTAGAGTAAGGAACACTGAAAACTTGTTCTTTAATTAGATACTTGAAATATCACGTTTCTAATCCTGACGTCTGCTGACATTATGGCCTGTGTCACAGGGAAGTTTACACAGTGGGTACTGCTGTGTGTGGCCAGGAGATGGAATACTGGGCTGGTATCAGAAATGTGTTCCAATGCCTTTGATTAAAATGGCAAGCTGCCATGGTGATAGTGCCATAGAAACTGGGGAAATAATCATTGCCTATTAGCAAAGCTGAATGAAAAAATTCTTCTCTATTTTTCTGTCTTTCATATTTCAGCACCTTAGCAGGAATGAAACTCTGCTGATGTTACATCCCTGACTGAAAAAAATCTGGAACAAATTCCTTTGCTCTGTATCGCCCAGTAGACCAGGCTGAGGTTGTGTGTTGGTGCTGCCAAAACATTAAATGCATGGACGACTTCTGGTCTCAAGGGCACTGGAGCAGAGACCTCTCTTGCAGCATTGAGATTTGTTGTTAAGTCACTTTACTCTCTTCTACTGTAATTACTTTCTGAATAGTGCAGTAAATATAATTTCCTTTAAAAGCACTCCAGCAAAGAAAGGCTGTGACTGTGTCCCACAGCCAGAGTCTACACAGACACGGCAAGTAATGAAAGAACCTGAATTTGGGAGCCTGACATTGCAAAGGGTTTTGTCTGTCCTGAACTGCACAAATCATGAGTCCAAGAGTGCCAAATAAGATCATAGAGGAGCAATATCTGTACTGGCTTAGCTCTTCCCATCCCTTGAGGTCTATTCAACAAGAAACAAAAGTGCAAGACAGTCCCTCCCTTGGATTGCTCTGTCTCTTGGCTGGAATGAGTCATTTCTCTGTTACTGGTTAGTGACTCTGTAGGGTATTTACACCCCACTGGAAACTGCTAAGCAAGGACATGGAGGAAGTGAACCCAGATCTATCTGGATATATCTGTCTAGGTATATGCTCATTAAATTTCTGTGCAAACACTTACATTGCCATTAAAGTTCCT